ACTCCCACCGTTGGATTTCAGAAGTGAGATCTGAAAACTCAAAGGCTTTAATTTTAGATTCCCCTCCCTCTTTTACATTGAGAACCTGGTTCTATAGAATAGGCATTTTATCCATTTTATTCTTCTTGCTGGAATGTCCTTGCCAGTTACGGGTGCGCGCGCGGAATGGGCATGTTAACTTCACCGTGGTTCCCATTAGATATATGTATGCCTTTGGAGGAGAGCTCCTTCCTTGTTTTTATATCTTCCCCGGAGCAGCTAGCAGACATCGCCCCTTCGCTCTGCTGTGGCACAGATCCGCCGCAAGGCTCCAGAGGATGGGGACGGGAAGGGCTGTGTGTGTGTGTGTGTGTGTGTGTGTGTGTGTGTGTGTGTGTGATAGGAATGAAAGACGTCCTCCTGTAAGTCACTCCCAATCGGGAGCAGATGGCCAGCGGCCGTGGAGTTCCAAAGGGAAATGTAAAGAAGCAGAAGAAGACACTCAAGCAGCTCATTCCTGCTGTTGGGACCCCCAAGCGCACTTAAGGAAAGACCTTTCTCGACACACCTTTTCCCCCAGGCAGTATCATCTACACTGGGAAAGCCCAAAAACTAGTTGTTGCAGTTTTAAATCTAGCCACTTTTAAACTGGCTTGCAGCAAGCCGGTCTATTGAGTTTTCCGTAGGCAGACAGCTAGCCCTTCGCCATAGCAATAAAGTGGAACGAAACGGTGGTGGGAAGTCGTAAGCGGCTGGAGACACAGCAAACTTAAACAAGCCAGCTAGCTGTGATTTTAAAGCAGAGAGGAAGGGCTCGTTGAGGGAAGCTCGCGGCCATGCAGATAGGAGGATTTGAGGTTTTCATAGCGCGCTGCTGCTATGCCATATGAGAAGTTCCTTGGATGTTTCATTAAGCGAACCACGCTCCGAATGCTTATTTAAATCATACGATGCATATTTGCGTCCTGTTTGCTTTCATTCCAGTTCTCCAGTTTCTCTTTCCATGTGTATCCTACTCGTTTTTTGGTTAGGTTTTCAGGGGGGAAAACTTGGTTGTTTTAATCTTTTTTTTTAAAAAGACATTATTGTTATAGATGCCCCTAATGCTGATTTAGACCACAGGATGCCAATTTGTGTCCTATTTGTTTCCCCTCTAGTTTCTTATTCCTTGCTTTTTTTGGAAGAATTTTTCAGCCCCATACTCCTGGTAGGTTAAAAAAACAACAACATTATTAGTATTACAGTGGTACCTCGGGTTAAGTACTTAATTCGTTCCGGAGGTCCATTCTTAACCTGAAACTGTTCTTAACCTGAAGCACCACTTTAGCTAATGGGGCCTCCTGCTGCCACCTCGCGATTTCTGTTCTCATCCTGAAGCAAAGTTCTTAACCCGAGGTACTATTTCTGGGTTAGCGGAGTCTGTAACCTGAAGCGTATGTAACCCGAGGTACCACTGTATTAGTAATCGTCATCGTGCGCGTCACCATAATCCTGGACCTGTCTCTCCCACAGTTGCTAAAACAAAACAAAAACCCAATACGCGAATATTTCCGAAGACAGGATACCTTTTGGCTCTCCCTTTCTCCGCCATACCCTCAAATTCAGAAGCACTGATAGGACTTGATAAATGGCCTCGGGGTTTTATTTGGGCTTTAAGCCGGAAGAGTTATTTAGTAGTCTTTCCGTGACCACAATTTGATGTCTCTTAACCAGGCAAATTAATCCCGCATTTAACAAGCCGAACACCGGAAGTAAGAAAATGACAAACTGAGACCTGACGTTAGCCATACTTCCCAAGGGAGGAATGGCTTTTGGGTTGTTTTTTTAAAAAAAAGTTTTTAAAAAACTCTATTACCGGTAGTTACACACACACACACACACACACACACACACAAAAAAAAAAACCTGGGTCACCATAGTAATTTCTTCGGGAGAAAGTTCAGCCCGTAGAATGTCATGTAAGAACACCCAAGTAATCGCATTCTGATGACCCCGCAGACCTAACCTAGTGAGAGAGTCCAGCACCTGCCGGGATTCACAGGTTAGGATCGCAGGCCTCCAAAGTTTGATGAGAGCGTGGCGTATATCACTGACTCAAAGGGTCATCATGGTTTCAAGGTTTTGTAAAGGCGTCCATCTAAAAAAAATAAAACGTGGATGCGGGAAACACGTGTCAAACAGTCCTAGTCCTCAAGATGCCAAAATGGGCTCTGGCTTCCAGTCAGGTGAACAGGATGGCAATTATAGGGTTACAGCCGGCTAAGTGTTGCAAAACTAGTCATGTCTACTCAGAAAGTATCAACAACAATTGAATTCAATGGGGTTTATTCCAAGTGGGATTGGGATTATAGCCTTAATAATTTAATGTAAGTGTTAAGTACTTGTGTGTGTGTATTTGCAAACAACATAACTTTCCCTTCCTTCTTTTAAGTCTTTTTTTATTTTTTATTTTTCCCTCTTTCCTTTTTATTTCTTGGCTTCAGTGACAGACCTCCACCCTTGGGGTCTTGAAGCTTGAACAGTTATGGGGGCCCCTTCACAACCAGCAGCAAGGTCTGGGTAACTACTGTTATCTTCTTCAGTGGAGTTGTTCCATGACAGATCACCACAACGTTTTTACAAAAATTAACTACTACATCTCAGATTTTGAATGAAATTGCTGTACTGAGTTACATCACATGTCAAAGTCACTGGTGTGAATAAAAAAAATCCTGTGCCTTATAGCTTTTGAGTTATGGGAAGGGGGTGAAAATTAGGGAAATGTTATATACAAATTGCGACTCAAATTGGGTCTACTGGACCCAATTATTTTAAGCAATGTGGACTAAATTAGCTTCTGGTGTCCCGAAGCTTAAGCTTCATTAGTTCCATAGTAGATCCGCCCTTAGTTGTCTTTGTTCCTCTTTGACTCACCCTTTCCTTTCTATCTTCCCAAAATCTCTCGAATATAACTCCAGCAATTCTGTACTTCCCCACCCCTCCTTCCCCTTTTCTGTAGTATGGAACCCATTAAATATATATCCCATAAAGACAGCGTATGAAGCTCCTCCGATCTGATGAGAGCAACTCCATAAATGTGGGGGTGGGGTGGGGACTCTATAATTCACCCCACCCCACCCTTTCAGCACGAGATATTGCTATCAATTCCTAAAGCCTTTGTGGACACTTCTCCTTTCAGTCGCCCGCTTCCCTTCTTCGGGGTTCTGTTTGATGCGTCATTAAAGGACCATTCGGCTACTTTCGAGAGTCCATAAATGGATGATTACGAACTTTCCCTTCCATGGGATTGCCTCTTTCCCTAGGCCATGTGTAAATTGACAAAGGAGGAAGAGACTGCAAACCACTCCACGCCTAATAGAATGGGAAGCCCAGGCAAGCAACATTTATTTACTTGTTAGCACATGGAAGACAAGAGTAACCTCCAATCTGACGCCCACGGTCATTTGTTACTTGTCAGGATATTTACTGGTAGTTCAGCCCACGAGGAGAGCACCAGAGGTTTAGAGCAGGCCAAAAGTTCACCTACAGGGCTAGCTTTGGAGGAGAGCAGCGAAGTTTGGTGGCTCTCAGCAACATTTGCTCGGGAGGGGAAAAAGAGGAGAGGAAGAGAGAGACTCTGAGCCCCTACTCCAAACGAAACGAAAGCAACCCATCTGAAGAAGCATTCAAGAACCCAACGCCTATTTTAGCTGTTTGCACTCTAAATCATATGAGAAACCGCCTCCTTTCAACATTGCCTGTTCTTCTGTTCTAGAATTTGCCAGTCTTAGTAAAAGTGTGACTGGAGTAAAGTGGTCTTATTGGGAGTCGTTCGCTTGTATGTTTCGATTTTAAGAATGATCCGCAGCAGCGATTAAAAACATCCCACCCCCGCAACAGTAGCTAAATCAAACTCCAGTGACAGCAAGCCCAACTGGTAATATAGTTGCTTTTTATGAAATGTAGAAAGCGGAGGGGTGAAGGCCTAAGGATGGGAATAAATGGATGGATAGCCAGATAACATAAATAACGGGTAGATGGATAGGGTAGATCGAATTTCAATTTCATTTGCGTTTTCCCCCCTCCAACAAAACACAATTGTGTTTCTAACTTTATTTCACAACTCATTAGAATGTTGATTGAATTAAATTGCTCTTTAGCACACTGCTTCCAGACACAAAGGCGATGTGCAAAGCAGAGCTATTTGGATTTAGTTTGTGTTGTTGTTTTTTAAGGGAAAGCAAAAAGCACTTTAAGCAAACTCCATAAACGTTTAAGTATCTTTTGGGTGATTAATTTTTTTTAAATGAGGAAAAAGAACATTTTCCTTCATAAAGAAGCCTTCCCTACCTCTCCCCATTCCCCCCTCCCTCTGTTTTACGGGATACGTGAGCCTATTGTAGCTGATATGGGGGGTAAAGCGCGCTCTCTCTCCCCCCCAGCTAGGAAGAAAAGTTCTAATTATTTTTACCGTCTTATGAACTGGAAGGTGTGTGTGTCTTTTTAACTCACAGAACAGAACTTGAATAGTCCTAACTTTCCCCCCCTTCCTATCCCCAACCCCTTTCTGTCACTTCCTTGCCCCCACCTCCCTTCTCTTCCGAAGTCTTTGAGGAGGGGGGGGACCTTTTGACGTATCCGTGTTGTTAATCAGATCGATGGGGAAAAGTTTGATTGAAGTTCCTTTGTCATGCAAATGTCAAGGACTTGATGGATGATGGTAGATATCTGACAAACTTCAGGAGGCATTTGTTCATTGGGCTTGATGGCGACCACGTGGTCCAGACCCCCTCTTCCACCCCTCACCCCACCCCCACCTTTCCATCCCACCCCCACCCCCACCCTGAAGGCTTTGGGAAGGAGGGGTGGGGGTATGGGGGGCTCCAGGGCTGGAGATCCGTAGATGGGAAGGCTTCACTCTCTCCCCCTCTCTCTTTTTCCTAGTTAACTTTTGACATACTATCTAAAGGTTGTAGGGCAGAAGGGATCCCCGTAAAACAGGCTGACCCTCTTCCATCATTGGCAAAGGAACAATACCTAGAATGAACTTCTTCTTAGACTATGCAATTTGTAACCGTGGGACGAGCGCCTACGCGCCCAAGGACTACCAGCATCTCGACCAAGGGACAACTTCCTTCCCATCTTGCTCAGGTACCTCTCCTTCTTGTGACAGCTATCATCAAGAGGGACGCTTCGGGACGACGGGGGTGGGCGCTGCTGGGCTCAACGCCCACCACCACCAGCAGCAGCACCACCAGCAGCAGCAGAACTCCAGCTACCCTCCTCCTCTTCCTCCCAACCCTACTGGCCTTGGCATCTCCTTCGCGGGGTCATCCCAGCCATCGGGTACAGGATATTCGGCAGCCCCCAACTGCAGCCCAAGCTTCGCCAACCAGCAGTTCTTCCTCGGCCCCCAGGAGACGGATGGAGGCTACTTCCAGCCCTCGGCCTACCCTGCCAGCATGGCTCCTTCTTCCTCGTCTTCCTCTGCTTCCAGCCTCGGAAGCTTACCTGACGGTTTCTGTGCCACCCCGGGCCAGTTCCAGCCCCACCTCTATGGACCTGAGCAGGGTGGCTATTTGCAAGGGGCTTTTGGCAACCTTTCCCCGCCCTTACAGGAGAACAAAGACCCGCGGGCTTGCTCGGGCCAGCCATGCCCCATGGCTGCCACCACCGGCACGGCCACCACCCAGACCTTTGAATGGATGAAAGTGAAAAGGAACCCTCCTAAAACAGGTAAAGCCCCCTCGGTTCCCTTTTACAAGACGAGGGGAGGCTAGCAGAGGCTGGTTTCCATATTCCCCCCCTCCACTGGAAGGTGGTTGTTGTGCCTTACTCCAGAGCATCCCAAGAGCACGTGACTTGTGGAGTCACATGGAGGCAGGATCTGGTCCAGAAAAACAATACGCTTAGGCCCTGCCATCACCAACTTTCCCATCTCTGGCCAGAACGCAAAAACCATGATGGGTTAAGTGAGTATATAGAACAGAGGGCGTGGGTGGAAAGGAAACGGATGGTACAATCTGCCTCTGTTTCCAAAGTTGCCCGAGGGGAGAGAGAAGGCCAGCGTTAGCTTTAGGCCCTGAGAGGCGGACGGAGGTTCAAGCTGCAGAATGGGATCTAGTGGAGAAAAGGACGGGATCTTTCCTTCCCAGGGATCACCTCCCCATCTGGTTATGGGGCAGGCAGGCTTGTCTCATTCATTATGTGATATGTGTATGCCGCTTTTCAGACGGACATTGCCTCTCAGGGCTCTCTCACAGCACTCAGAAAACGTGACACCAGTTCATTTGGTTGGCGTTTCACCCAGCATGTAGAGGCACACATGCGCACGCGCGCAACCAGCTCTTCTAACATTCCGCGGCACTTTCACTCTTTGGTCCATGCCCACGAGAAGAGAATCAGTGTTTCCCCCTCCCCCACGCGCGTGTTATAAAGGCATGTCTGAGCCGAGTCGAGAATGGTGGTCCTGTGGCTGCTTCTTCACACCTGCAATTGGCCGCTGCAGCAACAAGGTTACCGCTAAATGCTGCTCCACCAAGCCTCTGCCAGTGAAAATCAGGACTGCCTCACACCATTCACCCACAAGGGTAGAGGAGTCTAGTGGTGGGCATGGCATCCTGAAGACAACTTTCCTACTGCTGTAGTCAGTCCGGGCACGCGCAAAGCCCGCGAGACCCATCCCCTCTAAATGTGGGAACTGGGAAGTGTCCATTGGGTGCGTGTCAGGCATAGTACCAGCTAGAGCAGTCCTGGCTTTTCCTATGGCGGCTCAGCCCAGCGCTGGGTTTTTCTGATGGGCAGCATCCTCTGAGGTTGGGGTGGCCGAGTCTTTAATTCCTTGGAGGGTAGGGAGGCGCCTTCTCTTGGAGGAGTACTCCTTGACGTCTGTGAGCGGCAACCATTCCAAACGAATGGCGCTCACGCAGGAGAATGTCGCCTGAATAGCCCCCAAAGTTCCTCGCTGTTTGTTATCTGTCAAGTTACAGGTAGGAAGCCGTGTTGGTCTGCCGCAGTCGAAGCAAAATAAAAAAATTCCTTCCAGTAGCACCTTAGAGACCAACTAAGCTTGTTATTGGTATGAGCTTTTGTGGGCATGCACGCGAAAAGTATATGAAGAAGTATCTGAAGAAGTGTGCATGCACACGAAAGCTCATACCAATAACAAACTTAGTTGGTCTCTAAGGTGCTACTGGAAGGAATTTTTTAATTTTAAATTTTTCAGTTTATTCAGCTGGTTTAAAAAGAAAAGAACACCTCTTAGCCATGTAAGAACGACCCCAGTAGATCTGACTGGGGGAAATCAGAGGAATTTGCAAGCAGAAGTAGGGACAAAAATGAAATTAAGGAAAAGACCAGTACGTTTGGGGGACTGGGAAGCAGGACCGGCATAGAGGCAAAGAATGGATAGAGGGTCGGATAAAGATACCCGGTACAGGGCTTCAGAGTCAACCCGAGCATCTGTTTCTGACGCTTGGCTTGGAGCAGTGCAGTTAGAAGCGTAGAGAGTGCCCCTGAGCAGGTGCAGAGTATACCCTCCTCGTCACTAACCACAGTCTTCTCACACCCGGGATGTAGAAGATGGTGTCACAATTTCCCGGCGTGTCTTTTCCTAGCAATTAAGCATTGGCTGGAATGTTTATTGGGAGAGTTTTCTTATCAGGCTGGGTCAGAGTTAACAGCTGAGTTCACCAGAGTTTAGCCCCGGATCCTGTTTAACTTTACGGACCACGTGAAGCAGTAGTTCGGTTGATACGTTTATCCGAAATAAATCCAGTGGGAGAATTACCTGTTTGCCAAGGCAACGCACACACTTGTAACCTAAAACTTGCAAGTGGGTCCCTGCAACAAAATGTTGCACCATTAAGTGTTTCTTGTTCAGAGTTCCCGTCATTCTATTCCGCTCTCTTTCCTTCGTTGTCCTTCCTTATCTCCCAAAGCCAGTATCCCCGTACCCACTGAACATACCCAGTCCTCATTTGGCTGAATTTGAGGTTTTTCTCTCCTTTTAGGGTTTTTTCTTGGGGGGGGTGTAATTTTAAAAAATTAAATTATTTTCTCCACTAATGCCTACGGGCAGAGTTCCCCACCTTCCTGGAGACATTGAAAAATAGCTTCTCTGTGTGAACCAGGAAGTGACCTATCTAGACAATGAGATGGTTCTTTCTGCCCTTTATCTCTCTCTGCGTTTCTCTGTCCTCCTGTCCTGTTCCAGCCTCTCCACTCCAGTTGTCAGGTTTTTTTCTACTCAACATTCGGTGCCTTTGAACCATTATGAGAATGGTGTGTGTGTGTAGGTTTTGCGCAAAAGGTTAGTGTGCGCTTTTGGTACTTGTGCAAGTAGCCTGCATTTCTTTCTGTCTTCTTTCTCGAGCGTTGGAATTGCAATTTTGGCAGGAGAACGGATGGCATGGTATTAGTATCAAGATAAAACTATTAAAACTAAGATGCCTTAAAACTACAAATAATAATAAGCAATAGTATTGTTAGCCGCCATAGGCTCCTGCAGGAGAAGGGCAGTATAGGAGAACGAATATTCCATTAATAATATACAAACAGCGGCGAACTGATTTGATGTGTTACTCTTGTAAGCCGCCTTGGGAGCGGTTGTGGATGAAAGGCGGTGTACAAAAAAGAAGTAAATAAACAGAAACGGTTAAAGGTGGGGGGGGGACTGGTAAAGTTGTTTTAAAGGGCAATGGCGAATAATGCAAAAGTGTCATCGTGGGCCCCAATTGTCACAACACAATCTTCTACGATTCTAGATTGGGGCGAAAGAGTAGGAGCCCTCACACCAGTGGCCATACTCCTAGAATGTTCCTGAAGAAAAGCCTGCCTTTGAGCATCTGCAGAGTGCACCTATCCCTGACTGCTTGATAGCCACAGGCCTGTTCCCACAGACCCTGCAGGTGGTGTGGAAACGGGAGAATAATCCAAAGCTCCCCCGTGGGTGGGCGTGTATGTGCTTCTGATTTTAGACCCGAGGGGGCTGCAATTCTAACGCATGGCTTCCTTGCTTCCTCCCCCCCCCCTTGCTTTGGCCTTGTGGCTCTGAACAGCGACCGTGTCCGACTACGGCTTGGCCGTCCACGCCAGCACCATCCGGACCAACTTCACCACCAAGCAGCTTACGGAGCTGGAGAAGGAATTCCACTTCAGCAAGTACCTGACCCGAGCCAGGCGGGTGGAGATCGCGGCCACGCTGGAGCTCAACGAGACCCAGGTGAAGATCTGGTTCCAAAACAGAAGGATGAAGCAGAAGAAGAGGGAGAAGGAGGGTCTGGCCGGAGCCCCCACCGCCCTCAGCGGCTCGGCCAAGGAAGCCAGCGAGCCGGCCTCGGACAGATCCAGCCGGTCCTCCACGCCCGACGCTTCGCCCAGTTCCGTGTCCTCTTAAAGGGGGAGACACGCGAGGTCCTCCCACCCCCACCCGCACTGGAATATCCTCCCCACCCACAGGCCCCCCTTTAAGGAAATAGCTCCTCCTTGAACAGAAACGCCAGGCCAATGCGCAGGCTGCCTTAAGCCTCGATCGTCACGCGCAAGCATCACACGTCCATCGAGGAAGCCACCGCGCAGGCACGTGTATGCCTAAGCGCGGGCATCTGTGCACACGGACGCCTAGATTGTAGGTGCACACGAACAAGAACCGCGTGTTCAGAAACAAAGAACCGTGTGTTCAGAAACACACCTACAGATCAGCTTCCAAATGACGCCCGCATATACTTTCTCTCCTTGGGTATGATTTTTTTTCTGGTGGGGAGGGGTCATAGGAGCCAACTCCTAGCGGGAGGGGGTCTTCGGACCCCCACCATAAAATATTTGTGCCTCCCCCCAAGTTGATGGGCATTGCCATTCAAACAGTGTGCGTGCACTACGTCATGTGATCGATTATGCGGGGCGGGGCTTACCTGCCCCGCCCCCACATATTTTATTCAAGTTGGCGCCCTCGGGAGCGGTGCTATCTACGCAGAATCGGTTATGGGCTCGTACCATCAAGAGTTACTGACTGAGGCAGGTTTGCAGCTTTTCCCGCGCCAGCCTGCTCTGACAAACCTTCATGACAGGTACACGCGTGTTCCTTTGCTGCCCGAAACATCCACGGAGCAGGACCGCAAATCTCACACTCCTCCTTCCTTGGCAATGCGGAGGAACCCATCGCCAGCTATGTATTTTTCCTTTCTCCCCGCACCCCCTAGCAGAGATACTAAGAACTGGAGATGAGCGATTCCTAAGGGTAGCCCTTACTCTTCCCCTCTCCGTTATGTGATAGGACCTCGCCCAAGACCAGGAGCTGCCCGAAGTGTGCCTGCCTCCTTGAATGCCTAGTTCATCAAGACTACTATATCTCAGGGACAGCCGTTTTCCCACCTTCCTTTCCCAAAATTAGGAACCGCACTTTCAGCAAGATTTGAGTGTTTCCGTTTTTGACTTGGGGACGCAAGGTGTGGATCTTACTTTTCCAATGGATAAAACGAGGGTCATATTTGCGCGTTCGTCTGCTCGCTTGTTTCTGACTGTTCTTTACGCGCGAACGATTTTTGTAATAAAAAAGAGTGTGGGCATTTTATATAGAACGGAATAAAACACACGCTCTCTCGCAGCCCAGTTACAACGCCGGAGGCCCATTCATCTCCAATGTTGCACTAGAAGAGAACAGGGCCTCTGCCTGCTGATAGCCCGAAATAGTTTGGCTACATGGAATTCCTTTCACGCATCAACTGTAGTTTCGCAAAGAGGCTTTCTGACCGTGTGAATGCAACATTTGCTAAAAGGGAAGCAAGACACCAGATAGGTACTTATTAATAGCTCTGTTTTTATTTGTCTTTGATGTCAGCACCAAAGTTTTAATGACCATAGTGATTATGATGTTTAATATGTTCGTGGGAATGTGCCTCAGCATCGTATTAATTCACTAGCCTGATGAATGACTCATCTTTTCACTAAGATTTATTTTATTTTATTTTTTATTGTGTTTTAGGCTATAACAAAACAGGCAGAAAGGGGGTATTGAACCAACTAAGGTTGGTACTAGAAGTATGCCATTCTAGGAGCCTCCTAGAATTCTGCATCAGGCAGAGAAGCCTTCCTTCCTTCTGTGAGCCATAGGGTTTAGGCAGCGGGAGAGCAAAACCCCAAAATCCATAGACTTACACTTTGTAATTTTCATAGAGGATTTTTAGAACTTGGCTAGAGGATTTATCGAACTTGGCTATCAGCTGACAGGAGAGCCAAATAGCTTAGATACAGCCAGCTTTTAGCAGCATAAAGCAGTACATAAGTGTCAAAAGAGGATGTGCTCAACATCTGGGGATTTGCTGCGTGCTTAATTTCCCTTGGAAACCAGGAAACACCCTGAACTTTAAATGTGCTTACAGTGGTACCTCAGGTTACATACGCTTCAGGTTACACACTCCGCTAACCCAGAAATAGTGCTTCAGGTTAAGAACTTTGGTTCAGGATAAGAACAGAAATCGGGCTCCGGCGGTGCGGCAGCAGCAGGAGGCGCCATTAGCTAAAATAGTGCTTCAGGTTAAGAACAGTTTCAGGTTAAGAACGGACCTCCAGAACGAATTAAGTACTTAACCTGAGGTACCACTGTATTAGGCAAGTAAATTCTTTTGGTGGACAGGTCTTAGGTAAAGGTAAAGGGACCCCTGACCATTAGTTCCAGTCACGGCTGACTCTGGGGTCGTTGCGCTCGCTTTATTGGCCGAGGGAGCCGGCGTACAGCTTCCGGGTCATGTGGCCAGCATGACTAAGCCGCTTCTGGTGAACCAGAGCAGCAGACGAAAACACAGTTTACCTTCCCGCCAGAGCAGTACCTATTTATCTACTTGCACTTTGACGTGCTTTTGAACTGCTAGGAGCAGGGACTGAGCAACACAAGCTCACCACATCGCGGGGATTCGAACCGCCGACCTGCTGATCGACAAGTCCTAGGCTCTGTGGTTTAACCCACAGCGCCACTTACCCTTCAGCCAATGCACCCAGGATTAAGCATATCTGACTAAATTTGGAGGTGGGGGTGGACAACTTCCTGTGCATTTGCCTGTTGCAATGAATGGGAGCTTGGCAAGAGCAGCAGGCCCTCTTTCTTTGACTTCAAAATGCAAAGAGGTTCTGATTTGACCATTAGATATGAAGAATCCTACAAGAAACATCAAAAGTTTGAGAATTTGGGAAGGAATTGAATCTTCTCCTCCCTTCCTCCCTCCTACAAACAACCCAACTCTTTTCACATTTACCATGAAATAAGTCCCACTGAAGGGATGCGTGTGGTGCTGTGGGTTAAACCACAGAGCCTAGGACTTGCTGATCAGAAGGTCGGCGGTTTGAATCCCCGTGATGGGTGAGCTCCCGTTGCTCGGTCCCTGCTCCTGCCAACCTAGCAGTTTGAAAGCATGTCAAAGTGCAAGTAGATAAATAGGTACCGCTCTGGCGGGAAGGTAAATGGCGTTTCTGTGTGCTGCTCTGGTTTGCCAGAAGCGGCTTAGTCATGCTGGCCACATGACCCGGAAGCTGTACTCCGGCTCCCTCGGCCAATAAAGCGAGATGAGCGCCGCAACCCCAGAGTTGGCCACGACTGGACCTAATGGTCAGGGGTCCCTTTACCTTTTTAAGTCCCACTGAATTTAATGAATTTACCCTCTAGTAAGTGACTTAAGGAATGCAGCCTTATTAGTTCTCTCCCTCCCTCTATCTCTCCCTGGGCTATGACTTATGGGATAGTAGTATACAAGGACCTTGGAGAACATCTGTAGACTCAGGGAATGCTTTACTTGCATGCACAAAGCTGGGACTTGGCAGGCTAGTATTTCAAGTCAAAGGAAACGGTCATCCTGGCAGTAGGGATGGGCAACTTTTCTTTCCGTTTCAGTTTCTCTCAGTTCCTGTTTTTCACCACATCAGTGTGTGTGTATCCCCATGATAATCCATCAGTATTTTAGTGTTAATTACTCCTAATAGAAAAAAACACATTTGCAGGTTTGCAAGTAATATAATGCCCTAATATAATGCATTTTGCATGTCCCCCCCATATATGTATTATTTAAATGCACACTTTAGTATATGCATTTTTGGGGTACGCATTATTTGGCATAGCAAAAAAATCAGAAATGTGAATGTTGAAAGATGGCTGTGTTTCAGTTTGTGCATTGTTTTGGAAAGTATGGCTTTTACTTTGGAAAGTATGGTTGACTTTTAATGTCTCCCCCATCCCTACCAGGCAGGCAGGCAGGAACCTCCTGGCCTCTTTGCTTTTAGAGATTCTCCTCTAGGACTTGGCTGCTAACTCAGAGGAAGACACTTCAACTAGTTACTTCTAAAACAGTTCCAAAATTACTTTTAAAAAGAGAAAGAGAGAGAATGTCTTGGTTTGACAAATTTAAGGACTTGTTTGCATGGAACTGAATTTTGACCGATATCTAATTGCTAAACTTTACTAACAATTTATCCTATATTTATTATTCCTTCCCATAAATTGAACCCCAAACCCCCTCCCTATGAATGTAGGGCGACCTGGGACAGACAGTGCAAGCTTTTCCAGTTTCACTAACATTAGCCCTAGAGCAAAACTTTTAAAAAGCAAAAACTTTGTTATTATTATTATTATTAATAATTATTATTATTTAGATTTTTAATGGAATTTAGTGTTTTAAGCTGGATCTGGAGACACTGTCTCCTCCTTGTGCTTTATATCTTGAACCGAAACTACCTCAACCTAAATAAAGTATAAATTTTCTCAAGTTTCTTGAACACTTGGTTTGGCCGTCTTTTCCTCTCTTGCCCCCTTCCCTTTGATACAACACAAACATTTGTGGGGAGATTACACTTCCACTGTGTAGTGTGTCCAGTATGGTTGCCTCACCTCAAAAGGGATACAGTAGAACTGGAGAAGGTTCAGAAAAGAGCCAGCAAAATGGTCAAGGCATTGGAAGAACTACCTGAAGAGGAAAGATTTGAGGCTATATAATTCAGAGATAAGGTGAGTAAGGGGGGACACGACAGAGGTGTACAGAATTATGCATGGTATGAATGAAAGGAATAGTAAAAAGTTGTTTCCCTCTCTCATAATACAGCCATTCCCTGGGGGTTTTGAACAGCCTAGTTTTCAAACGTTTTGGCTCCCGAATGCCACAAACCCAGAAGTGACTGTTCCAGTTTGCGAACTATTTTTGGAAGCAGAATGTCCGATCATTGATGGAGGAACAGGGGTGCGGAAGGAGCGGACCGCACCCAGCACCACTAATCTGGTAGGGTGCCATCGCAGCAGCCCCCCTGGACATGCACCATGCACCCCCTCGAGCGCCAGGCACCATGCCCCCAGAACACACGCCATGCCCTCGCAGGCGGCATGCCACACCCCTGGGATGTGCATCATGTCCCCCGGGGCGCCAGCCACGCCCCTGCCTGCTCTCCTCCCCCGGTAGTGGAGCATGCAGCTTCGCCACTGCGTCTGATGGGGCTTCCACGGCTTCCTGCAGCCAATCAGGAGCCGTGCTTTGATTTCCAAACATTTTGGAAGTCAAAAGGACTTCTGGAACGGATTCCGTTCGACTTCCTAGGTACGACTGTACTAGAAATCAGGGGCATCCAGTAAAACTGAAAGCTGGACGATTCAGGTAAGAAAAAAAGGACTACTTCAGATAGTGCAGTTAATTTCGCTTCCGCAAGAGACATTGATGCCACCAACTTGGATGGCTTTAAAAGAGGATTAGACTGATTCGTGGAGGATGTGGCTGCTAACAATGATGGGTCTGTTCTACTTCAACTGTTGGAGGCAGCAAATATCTGAATACCAGTTGCTGGAAAGCACAAATGCTGTTATTATACTCAGGTCCTGCTTGTGGACTTTCCTTAGGCACCCGGTTGGCTTCTGTGAGAATAGGATGCTGGACTAGATGGGCCTTTGGCCTGATCCAGTCAGGCTCTTCTTCTGTCCTTAACATCTCTAGAAAGGGCAGGAGCAAAGGCTAATGAGGAACCGAGAAAGTTTTCATGCAGCTTCTTATATGAAGCAACCTTAGACTGAATCAAATGATTGGCCCACCTCACTCAGCATTGTCTATTTTGACAAGCTACTTAGAAGTGCTGGGGAAGCCAGGAACCTCTGCTCTGTCGCAGAGCTATGGCTCCAGGCTACTTCTCTTCATTCAGAATGGTTCAGAATACTGCATCCCCTCAGTGGCAAAGTAGACAACAAAGGATTCTCTAAGTGACATTGGAACACCCACATCAACACAACAGGGTTGGCCTACTTCTCACTGGGGTGACAAACTCTTGAGTAGGTTCTGATGAAGGACTACTCCTCCGTACAATAAAAATAATAATTATTGACGACAGAACTTACAGGGAGATTTGTTCCTGATATGCAATTTTCTAGGTGTGGGGATTTGCTGTTTACACAGAGAAGCATTGAATCATGTGAACCTCCACCTGTTGTCTGAAGTGGTGCAGCTCAAACACAGGTTTACCTAGGAGGATAGTGAGGTAGCTGGAAGGTGCCATGGCCCCCTTAATTCAAAGCATTGCCCTCTGAAACAGTCTCTCTGGTCCACTTTATATCAAGTGGTAAAGCATTTCCTGGACTGTACCATTTTGGGTTGCAGATGGGGACTGTATTTTTGGGAAGGTTTCCAGCAGATGGGAGAATCTGCACATAGGAAGAAAGTATCAAGCCAGGGACAGACCCCTCCCCAACACATTAGTTCTCTACTTGCAGAAACTTCATTACCACCACCCCCTCCCTAGGAACATACATCTGCATCCTGAAGTGGTACAGTCCAGAAAATGCTTCAATAGGTGAGTCCGGATTGCACGAACAGGCTGTTCTCCTCTGTCTTTCTCCTTTCTAAGTGGCTTCTGTTTCCACCTACTTCTACCAGAACGTTAAGAAGGGGGTTTCCAGATAAGGACTATCTTAGAGAATCCCATTTGGTGGAGATGGCATTGGTTGGAAAAGTGCTCCCTTACACACACCAAAAGAGTCAAGCATTCATAAAAAGGTCATGTTGGTGTCAGCTTGTCCGGATAACAAAAAGCCCCTCTGGGCTCCATCTGAAATTCAAAGGGATTGGCTGGAAGATGCTTCCTGGCCTTTCAGCATGTGTAAAGTTCCCTGTCCCTTAGATAGAACGATCTGTGTTGCTCCTTTCTTGTTCCCTTTGTATCTTTCCTATTGGTCTCAGATTCACCTTTCGCTGGTCTCCCAGGGGTGTGCCCAGCTCCCATGTCAGCCCTTCTCCCCTTGCCTTAGATTTTGTGCTTTCTATAATGCATGCAGTTTGCATGAAAGAGAAGTAAGGATACACCACATTGCTACTGCTGCTTATCTAGATGATGCAGTGAAACAAAACAAAACAACAACACACAATGGTCTTTTCTCCTGAGTAATTTTTTTCTTGTACTTCAGTTTTGTATTTGATTTGCAATTGTAACAGAGAAACTAAGAAAAATGATAATAATTGTTGATAATAATAATACAAACAACAACAATCCATTGCCAGATGACATTGACCATAAGAATGTTCTATCAAACATGTTTTAAAGGTATACATTAGGATAAGCAGTCCAAATTGGTTTCTGAATATTTATTTATTTGTTTGTTTTACAACTAGAGAAAGTCTCTGGTTTTATTTCATAGAATCGTAGAGTTGGAAGAGACCTCAGGGGCCATCTAGTCCAACCCTCTGCAATGCAGGAATCTTTTGTCCAACGTGGGGTTCAAACCCATGACCCTGAGATTAAGAGTTTGATGCTCTACCAACTGAGCTAACTGACAATTTTCAGAGATCCATTCAGAGGTAGAAAGGACAATGAGTAAAACATCTTCTGAGTAGACATGCATAGGACTGTGAACCTAAATGTCTGGGGCTATTCACATAACTTGAATTAGATTCAAATGAACAGGCAAAGGACTTCACAAAAGTGATCCTCCTCCAATTTGCAGTGGGCTTGCTTCCCTACTGCTCCACTCATCTATCCATCATTTGCTTTTAAAAAAATCTTCCATCCAGTTATCTTTTCTCAGACTGCTGGTCTGATTTCTTTTCTTACTTTCTTTTTTTGTCTTCCATTCTTTTATTTGTCATTATCATCCTGCCCCTACTGCTGCCACCACCCTTTCCTTTCCATCTGTCTTTTGATCTCTGTCATTTCGGAGGATAGGTCTAGAACCAAGAGCTGGAAGATTCAGGGAAGCAGATCCAGCTAAGCATTTCGAGAAGGATCCTGACTGCAAAAGCTATTGGCCTGTGGAACTACCTGCATCAGGAGGTTGAGGGCTCTCCTTTGCTGAAGGTGTTTAAGCTAGAAGCTAGATGACCAAGGTGACATAAATATATAACCTGCACTGAGCAAAAGGCTTGACTAGAGGACCTCCAAAGCCCCTTCCAAAATTCTATCCACCGCCCCATCATCTCTCATTCTACTTCCATCAATCTTCTCACTCTCTCCCCTTTTCTTCTCTCTGTTGTCTTTCCTTTTCCACCCATCCATCTTCCCTCATTATTTTCCTCTTTCCTCTCCATTCAATGACCAACCTGTTATTTCCTTCTTTCCTTCCATCCTTAAAGAAGGAGGGAAATGAAAAGACATGCCTGTGGTGATAGCTGTCTCTCTGAGCCATTCATTTCTCCCTCTCTTTGTTGTGGAGGAGTGCTGCATGTATTTATTTTTTTAAAATAAGCCATGCGTTCCTGGCATGGATCTTGAGGCAAACTATCAAAACCACAGTTTTTCAAGGCCTCATATACAGAAACCACAGTCTCTCTCAAAGCAGCTGGAATTCCTTCTCTATCACAAAAGGAAGAGAAATTCCCAGGTTGTTTTTTTTTTAAGGGTTTCAGAATAATTTATAGCAGTGACTCAGCTGGATCTGCTCCTCTTTGAAGGGGAACATCTTCAGAAGGTGGGCTAAGCAGACTCCTGCCTTCTGCCCAGACAAACGAGCAGGAAGAGAAGTCCAGGAGCCCCTTTGGCTCCTTGGCAAGTTTGTCCTTGCCATCTGTTCCCACCCCTTGGTGTGATTTCACCCCCTCCTTCTTTCCTTAAAGCATTTGTTCTCACAATGTGAGGCCTTTTGATCTCAGAAAATCACTTTCTGTTTAAAAGGAAGAAAGGGAGCACTTCCTACTTTTGGGATCCTTGTAACTTTCCCTCTGAACTGGACCATCCTTCAGCTGTGTAGATTTTTATGGCCTCTGTGACAGCTTATAATGGGAGGCCCAGTTTATAATGGGAAATTATTTTTACCTTTAAGGGAAGGTGTGGTTGTTGTTATTGTTTTAGTGAACTGCTCTGAGATCTTTGGATGAAGGGCAGTATAACAACAACAACAACAACAACAACAGTTATTATTATTTTAGTGGAACCACTCAGGGCTTAGATGAAAGTCTGAGCTCCATTCAACACTGTGCCATTGGTAAGATATAAGTCCCCCTCTCACCTTCCACACTTGTGAAACTGAGAGCAATGTAGAATGTGTTTGTGTGAATGCTCTAGACACCTGGATTTATTTATTTTTTGAAGTGGGAAAGTAATTTATAAATTGAGTGTTCCCTCACTGTTCCACTAAAGTTGTGAATGCCTTTGTGTTTCTTAAAAAAAACTGTACAGTACTTCTAAGACTGTTTACTGCTTTTGGGTGGGGATCAGGCAAATACTACTAAATTAAGTTGATTTTTTTTTTTTTAAAGTTAACATTCTCTATCTAACACAAAGCAATCCCACCAGCAGCAAAAATATTTGCCCCCTTCTTTTGCATGAGGACAAGATATCATTGCTAACTAAGACTGGTGGGTATATTCTCCTCATCTTTTTCTGATCATATAGAAAACCCTGGTGACAAGTGAATGATACAGGTCTCGATTTGTGCATGGGCCTGTGCTCTAGTTTCCGTTGCTAGATGTTCTCAACTCTGCAACACAGGAATTAAAAGGTGATCATGTGCATATCCCATTGGGGATTAGAGGAAAGAACTTTTGGGTCATAAGATGGAGCAATTGACTCTGGTGCTTAAAAGCTTGCACTGGCTGCCTATATGTTACTGGGTCAAGTCCAAGGTTCTTGTGTTAATTTTCAAGGCCCTTAACAACTTGGTTCCAGGATACCTTAATGATCATTTGAAGCCTTATACTCCTGCCCAGTCACTTAGGTTAGTGTTAGTGATTCCTCATGGCTTGGATGCACAGCTTGTATCCACCAGCAGCTGTTGATACTGTATTGAGGGGCCAATTCTATAGAACCCCCTCCTGGCTGAGATCAGACAGGCCCCCTCCCTACTAAAGTTCCAGTGGCTGAAGACTTTTATTTATTTTTTATTTCAAAAGGCGTTCTTAGTAAGTTTTTCAAATTTATTATATGGTTAATTTGAACTGACTTTATGCTGGTATCTATCACTTAGCACTTAGAAACGACAGTATTGAGTGGTATATAAGTTATTAAAATTAATAAATATCATATTAATATGTAAATAAAGATGTGGCTTCAAGGCAGGCATACGTCCTGGCACCTGTCTATAAAAATTAAGCAGCAACCCCCCCTCCAAATAAAACCCCAGTCTGTTCATGCTCAGTAGATCTCTTTTCTTGCTTCCACGTGTATTTTCACACTGAGCACAACTTCTCCTGCCCCACCCTTTTTGGAATGTATAGGTGACCCCTTTGCTCCTAAAAACAACAACCCTCACCTATCCCTTCCTCAGTTTACATATTGGCTTGACAGCTGGCCTGACAGCTCCATTCCAAACCCTACCTCTCACATGGGCTTGTTCAATATTTACTCAGGCTGATAGGTTTGCCTAGAGCTTCACTCTGTCTGCCTTGCCCTGCTAGCTCCTCTTCCCCTCCAGCTTTGGTTCACCGAAAGTTCAACCGTAAATGAATTCACCGAAGGACAGGCTCGGGCTGTCCAGAGGACCAAAGATGGGGTCACACGTAGGTCTTCCCACACAACCGGCGCTTTCCATGGCTCACCACTCCATCAGCACTCCAGGCAAGAGGTCTGCTTTGAAAAATTATTTTGGGTTGCAGGGGTGGGGTGGGGGAACAAACCACAAGCTGGTAACAAGAGAGCGCCAAGCATATTCGGGGGTAGGCTTTCAACAAACGGATCAGAGGTCAAGCCTTCAGGGGAGGTGAGAAAAGTTCATGAATGCCCTGAGGTTCATAAGATTCCGGAAAAGTGTAACTGTGCACAAATTGAGAGTTGTAATGGGAGATGTTTTTGTATATGTAAGTGTCAGCATATGCATATTTGCACTATACTAACACAGTGGTACCTCGGGTTAAGTACTTGATTCGTTCCGGAGGTCCGTTCTTAACCTGAAACTGTTCTTAACCTGAAGCACCACTTTAGCTAATGGGGCCTCCCACTGCTGCTGCGCCGCTGGAGCACGATTTCTGTTCTCATCCTGAAGCAAAGTTCTTAACCCGAGGTACTATTTCTGGGTTAGCGGAGTCTGTAACCTGAAGCGTCTGTAACCTGAAGCGTCTGTAACCTGAAGCGTATATAACCTGAGGTACCACTGTACTAATACTAATAATACTATACTAGCTGTATTCTCTACTCTACCCTGAAGATAAGAAGAGCCCTAATGGATGAATCCAAAGGATTATCTACAGTAATCCTACAATGACCAACCAGATGCAACAATACTCTCCTCTTCCTGATCCTCAGCAAATGTCTCTCAAAGGCATACTGCCCCTAATACTGAAGATTATATACAGGCATCATGACTAGTAGCCATTGATAATTTGAAGCTCATACTAACACACTCCAGTATTGGGATGTGTTATGCCATAATAAATTTGTTAGTCTTCAAGGTGACACAATATTTTTTTGGTTATTTCTATTATGTAACTTTAATACTGTTGTATTTTTATGAATGCTATTTCATTGATATTTGTAATCTATCCTACAAATTCTTTTTCTTTCTTTTTGATAGGGGTTTAAGTGAGGTGCTAGGGCTCAACCCTGAGTTATGTCTTCTATTCTGGTCTTCTGCCTAAGCCCATACATACAGGAAATAATCTGGTTGTACTCACTCAGTAGTGGTGAAAATACACTCTGCATATGTTGAAAGCACACTATTGCTACTATTAATTCACAATTGCAATTTCCAAGGTCTGGTGTTACTTGAGATTCTTGTAGCAACAAAATATAGAAATGGAAGAGGTCTACTGAGATATACAGCCAAGCAGCTGAACACCAGTGAATAATTTGAACTTGGTCTCAACCTTTGAAGTTATTTGGAATGCCAGCCTTCATCCTGGGAACAGGGGAAGTAATATCACAGAGTGCCTCTGAGGCTGTGCAGAGTGCATTTCCGTCATCATTTCATCGCCACAATCTTGCTCTCCAATCTGGCAACACAAGTGGAGAAATATCCAGGTCAGAGATGGAGGATTCCAGGCAAGTTTGAACTCCCTAACTTCTCACTTTTTAAATCAGGCACCACTCAACAGAGACGAATTAGGTCAGTTTTAAGTGCTGCTCCTATTACTCTTTCATTCCATCGAAATTCCCTTTTGAGCTCCTGTTGTTCTTCCAGCTTTAAATCCATGGAGGCATCCCTCCCACTCGGCCGCTACCCACCGCTTCTGATCCACCTTTATACCCTATGCTGACCCTCCATAGGACAAAACACTTATTCTTTTACTGTGGAATTCTAGAAGGTAACAATGTTGTATGATTTGCGGCTCACATTTACCCCTCTGTTGGAAGAGCTGACATATTTCATATTTATATGCTGATGGAGGGATGGTGTAGAGGGGAATAGT